ATCTAATTTTTAGTTTGTTTAACAGGAAAGAGAATGAAAAAGAATTAGATTAGAGAGGCATAGACGAATCAAAGAGAGAGAGACAGAGCCTTGCTTCTCTTCTTTTTCGTTTTTTCCTTTTTTTTTTTAAAGGGGGAGAAGAAAAAGGAAGGAGGTGAGAAGACAGAACTACCTTATCTAACCCCTCCTATGCGGGTGACTCCTACAAAGAAATAGGTGAGAAACACTCAATATATCCTATTTTGCGACTCCTACATGGGTGACTACTTTCCTTCTCTTGGAGAGGCTATAGGGGTGTAAGATAGGGTGGCTATTGGGAAAATAGGAGTCATACTTATATCCACCTTTTGTAATTGGAGTGTAATTTGTTTTTTGATTTAATGGAAAACATTGCACCCCAATAGCCACATTACACCCCTAATGGTTACATCTGAAAGGATGTAATAGCTATTAGGGTAAATAACCATCTTTTGATTTAAGGAATACAAATTAAGGAATACACATTAAATCTACCCCAATAGCCACCCCAATATCTTATGTTCTAACTTATTACAAAATAAAATAAAAGACTCACTATTTTTTTTTTAACAACTAGAATATTCAAGCCAAGATATTGTAAAGGTTTTTTAATGCTTGAATTACAATTATCAATGAGTTTTGGGGTGAGGCTTTACTTATTAGGCTGCAACTCTATCAAACTATTTTTCATATATAATAAACAACATCAAAGTTTTAATCTCTTAACCTGTGCAAAATAATAAAAATGCTAAAATGATCCAACAATAACTTTGTTTTATTATAAAATTAAAAGTACATAAAATGATCTCCAAATTAATTATTGACCAATTTATGGTTTAGTATGATAAGCTATACATGATTACTAAAGAGGGCTTCTTAAAGTTTTACTTTATAAAAATTTATAATATCTATTAATTAATCATAAATAACGAATAAGGCATATTAATTTTTGTATTTCAAATATTTTGTTATTCATCTACCACTAATAAATAACTAATAAGGCATAAAAATTTATAATATCTATTAATTAATCATAAATAACTAAAGTAGAAAGGAATATATGCAAGCTGTTAAAGTGTCTCAGATCAAATAATGGGAGGAATACACCTCAAATGCTTTCAAAAGCTATTGTGCTAAGCGTGGCATTAAGCACAAAAAGACAATACCATATCCCCCCAGCATAATGGTGTAGCAGAGAGAATGAATCGCACCATTATGGAAAGAGTTAGGAGCATGCTATCTACCACCAAGTTATCAGCGTCGTATTGGGGTGACGCAGTCCTCATAGCATGCTACCTAATAAATAGATCTCCACCATTCCTTTAGATGGTGAAATCCCAAGGAGAGTTTGGACTAGAAAAGATATCTCATATTCACACTTGAAGGTGTTCGGATGCAACGCATTGGTGTATGTGCCCAAGGAACAAAGATCCAAGTTAGATGAGAGAACACTTATATGCATCTTCTTAGAGTACTCAGATGAAGAGTTTAGTTATAGGCTATGGGATCCTGAGAATAAGAAGGTGATCAAGAGTAGGGATGTGGTCTTACAAGAAGACCGTACCATTGAAGACATGAACAAGTAAAAAAAGCCACGAATCTTCAACGGTTCAAAACCGGTTATAGCTCTTCCTATTGTGGTACATAAAGATGAGGGAGAAGTGGAACAAGAGGATGGGTCTCAAGAGTTTGACATGCAAGTTCCCAGTGATGTGTGGTTAGGTACCTTGATCTCGTCCTACTAATTTAGGTTATATGGTAGCACGTTTCTCGGGTCTCTAATGGACCCAGGATTTGAGATCTCTCTCTTGGAACCTTGCTCGATGGCAAGGGCAGGTATACCAACCAATGAGAGAGGAATTTATGGGTTCAGGACTTACTCTAGCTGGATCGCGTAGGTGCCCTCTTAGATCACGAAGAAAGCCCCCCAACTGCTTGAGCTGGCTCAGAATCGCATCCCTTGATAATACTTCTATGGTTAATTTGTAAGACAAGTGGGTCGAAAAGGACCCATCTTTGTCTTAGGGTAATGCACATTCATGGGAGATGGCGACGAAGTGCAAGGTTAGATGAAAGATAGAAAGGAGAAGAGAACTTGATGGAGAGGTGAGGCTAGCATGACAACCGAAAGCCACCGACTCGGAGTGGTAGCAAAACAAGCATGGTTCACAAGACCAACACAGCAACAGTACTACTAGAAACCAAGGTGGACGTGTCGGCACTAGGCTAGGTCTGCCCTCCATCAAGTGAGAAGAGAAAGAGGTGGAGAGGAAAGAACGAGGCGGTGAAGAGAAGGGGAAAATTCTGACGTCGATAGACATCACGGTGGGCAATGCATGGAGGCGGCGTATCCCTTGTGGATGGCGCTAGCTCCTGACAAGGCTCACAACGATGGTTTCTCCTAGGTCGCACTGCGATAGACATGGGATGCAGGGAAAACAGTGATAGGCACCGGACGCATGGAGGAAGCTTGCGGACCGTGATGGGTGTTGCCAGGACCTTTAGCGGGCGGCGATAGGTATCACCTTCTACGTTAGATGCGCAGCAGAGGAAGACTCCTGTAGGTGGCAACACACTTCGCCGTCTGGGTTCTTCACCTAGACGTCAAAGCTACATCTGTGGGCGGCGATGGGTAGCGCCATCTACAGACTTCACTTAGAGAAAGAGACATACGAGAAGGAGGGAAAGAAGACTTGTGCATGGCCCTGCCATCACCATGTGCGACCTGTGAGACCAAGGGAGAGGCATGCATGACACTACCACTGTCGTGCACGACCTCCACTAGGGACTCAGAAGAAGAAGAGGGAGAAGAGAAGGGAGAAGGCAGAGAGAAGAAGAAAAGAAAAAGAAGAGCGAGAAGATTTACCTCATCCCTAAGGGTACCGATCGAAAGGTTCTCTCACCTCACCCTCTCTCTTAAGCGTAACACTACAATAGTAAGAAAGAGAAACTTGTATTAAGTGAAACTCTCTCTTGTGTATGTATGTATCTACATTTTCTCTTTCGTTTTTTACGTACAATGATGGTACTTATATATAGATATGTGCCCCAAACAAGGGTGGATGATCAAAAGTAACCCTAATTATTAGAAATTAAGATTAAATTGAATTAAAAGAAATTAGAAAATAGGGTGAAAAACAACAGATTACCCCTTCTTAACAAGTTGTGGAATTCCAGAAAAGTCCAAGTGTTGCCTTAGGACTTGTGTGTTCTTGCATGACTGATCCTGGTTCGTTTTGATGCCCGATTGATCGTAAGATGATTGTTTTCTTGTAGGGCTCGATTTGGTTGCTCTAGCGATGCACGATGTTAATGAATTTCTTGCACTTTCTTCACGGATCAGCAACTTCTCTCTAGCTTTTCTTTTCGCTCAGGTATCGTCACGGGACGTGCCACATATGAATCACTCGTCTTGACTAGACGAACATGCTCCCCAATTTTGAGCATGATCCGATATGGGACGACTGAGATATGAATATTGAAAATCACCGGTCGTGACTGTCCCTTTAATGGTGTAGTGTTGCAGGGTTGCCACACGGGAATAGCGTGCGACTCCTCCTGTTTCATTCTTTCGCCTATAACTTCTTCTTGGAGTGTCTGTTTGGGATGAAAATTGACCCCTGGGGGTTTTCAATCATGTTGGATCAAATGGTGGTGGTCCCACAGTAGTTTGGGATGCTGAAAATGTAGTTCTACTTATAGAGGTCCATTTTAGGGTGCCGAAGCCGATTCTGCCAAAACTATTTCTCACTCTGCACTGCCTTAGACATGTCAGAATGCGATGAAACGTAACAAAAAACTTTTGAAAGACCTCATGAAGATCTTGGGCAGTTCTGGGGCTGTTCTGAGACTGTCGAATTTCTACTACTTGGTAGACCTTTATTGAGTGGGGGCCTCATGTTGATGAAAATTAGCTTCCAACAATGCGTAATAAGGGAAACAATATGTTCAAGAAGTGCCACCTACATTTGAATTGAGAAGGTCCTCTAGAGAACATAAACCCTCTACCAGATACCATGCATCATAGTATATCTTATACACTGAAGAGGGTGAACTAAAAAGCTACCAGGAAGCTAACACCGAGGAATAACAAGAGGAGTGAGTTAAAGCTATATAAGAAGAGATAGAATCCTTGCATGAGAACCACACCTATCACCTGGTAAAGTTTCCTAAAGGCAAGAAGGCAACATAAGTGGATCATCAAGATAAATACTGAAAAGAAAAGCCCACATTCAAGGTACAAGGCAAGGTTGGTCGTGGGCAAAAAAAAGGTATCAATTTTGATGAAATATTTTCTCCCATGGGGAAAGGGTCATCAGTCCATATGATGTTAGGTCTGGCTACAAGTTTGAATGCAGAGATAGAGCAGCTAGATGTCAAGATTGTCTCTATGATGATTTAGAAGAAGAGATATATACGGAGTAGCCAGAAGGATTCAAGTTAAAAGGAACATAACACATAGTTTGCAAGCTAGAAAAGATCCTATATGGGCTGAAACAGCCTCCAAGGCATACAAGAAGTTTGATTCTTTAATGAGGAGCGATGGGTATAAAAGGACAGTCTCATACCATTGTGCATTCGTCAAGAAGTTCTCCGATGATAACTTCATAAATGTTTTACTATATGTTGATGACATGCTAATTGTTGATGAGAAGATTAGCACAATTGTCAAGTTGAAAGAAGAGTTGAGCAATGAATTTTCCATGGACTTAGGACATGCTCAACAGATCATGGGCACGAAGATCTCTCATTACAGGAAGGTTGGAAAGTTATGGTTGTCATAAGAAATGTACATTCATAAAATGCTCGAAAGGTTCAGCATGAGCAAGGCAAAACATGTCGGCTTCCCACTTGGAAGTCATTTTAAATGCCAAGCAGTGCCCTTCAAATGAGAATGAGAAGGAAGAAATATAAAAATTTCCCTATGCGTCGGTGGTAGAAGTTTAATGTACACCATGGTGTGCACGAGGCCAAATATCGCACATCCAATTGGTGTAATGGGCAAATTTATCTCTAATCCTGATAAGGTACAGTAAGTAGCAGTCAAGTGGATATTCAGATGCCTCAAAGGAATTTCCAAAGTATATTTGTGCTTTGGAAGAGGTAAACGTGTATTACAAGGGTACATAGATGCAGACATTGCTAGAGATGTAAACCCCAGGAAGTAAATCTCAGGATACCTGTTAACTTTTGCAAGGAGATATGTTTCAGGACGGTTCAAACTGCAAAAGTGTGTGGCTCTATCGACCATGGAGGCCAAGTACATTGTAGTTATAGAAGCCTGCAAGAAGATGACATGGATGAAAAGATTTCCTCGGGGAGCTAGGCTTGAAACACGACAAGTATATTGCCTTTTGTGACAGTCAAAAGTGTTATCAGTTGAGCAAGAACGTGAGCTTCCATTCCAGGACAAAGCAAATTGATGTGCATTACCATTAGATTCGGGATGTTCTAAAGAAGAAGTTAGTTCATCTAGATAAGATCCATACCAACACAAATACATCAGATAAGATGATCAAGGCCTTAGCTAGAGATAAGAACGAGCTATGCAGAAGCATAACTGACATGAGTGCAATTTGAGCACCTTGTTGATTTGCAAAGTAAAACCTCCCCCATGGAACAGAAGGGGGAGATTGTTGGGTGCTCCATCCCATTTTGGGACTGGTGTCAATGGAATTGTCTTTGCTAGAGGGGCATTTTTGAAAAGAGAAAAAGATGACTTGTTGACCAAGTCATTATCTCATAAAATTAGGAAGTCTCACGTGATTGTTACGGGTAGATATTTTCTCTTATCTCTTAGTTAAAAAGAGATAGAGATGAGCCACCTTATATATTGTTATGGGATACTCTCTCTGGTCACCCATAAAAGTAAAAATGTGGGGTTTCATGTCTTCTCTTTTA